ATAATTACAGAACTATACAGGGATAACACTCTCTCTCTTCAATCCTGACCCCCCAGGGGGAGTGTAGTGGTCGACGTGATGTCGTGTATTGTCCGTCACCAGAGATCTCTGTCTCTGGTCATTTCTTTTAATTCATGCATAGGTCTTTGGCATATTCCTGTAATTTGATCTATCCATCTTATTGGGGATCTTCCTCGTGATCTTCGCCCTTCTACCTTTCCTTGTATTATGAGTCTTGCCATGTTTTCTGTGTTTGCTCTCATAACATGCCCAAAATATTTTAATTGTTGGAAATGGACTTTACTAGAGAGTCGTTGGCTAACTTTTAGCTCTCTTAAAATTGAATTATTTGTTCTACGGTCGGTCCAAGGAATTCGTAACATTTGTCTCCAATAGAACAGTTCAGTGGTGTCCATCTTTTTTCTCTCCGATTGTCTCAGAGTCCAAGATTCACATCCGTAGGTCAGTATTGGGAATATTAAGCAGTTGATCAACCTCATCTTTATCGCTCTTGAAATTTGACAGTCCTTCCATATTTTGCTCATTTTTGCTGTGGCAACTTTTGCTAGATCACATCTACGTTTATTCTCTTCTTGTAATGACCCTGTGTTTGTGATTAGTGATCCCAGATATAAGTATGAGCTCACAACCTCGAACCGATCAATTGTGGTTATGTGTGGATGATTGTTGTGTAGTCTATCCACTATCATGATCTTTGTCTTTGATATGTTTAATTGCAGACCAAATATTTGACTTTCGTTTTCGATCAGTCGTATAGGTTCCATCAGCTCTGCTTGACTATTTGCAAGAAGGGCTGTGTCTTCTGCGAAACGTAGGTTGTTTAGTTTATGACCATTTATTGAGATGCCCTTTTCCCATCCTTCAAGTACTCGTCGCATAATATACTTCCCATATATGTTGAATAATTGTGGAGATAGTATACATCCTTGTCTGACACCCCGTTCTGGATGAAACTCGTTCGAAAGTGTGTCAAGTACTTTAACTGATCCAGTAGTGTGTTTATATAGTTCAGTTGTAAGCGTAATTAGATGTTGTGGTACGCCTACTTCTTTTAGTATTCGTCATAAGTGTCTCCACTTGACCCTGTCGAACGCTTTACGGTAATCTATAAAACAGATGTATAGTGGGATGTTGAATTCCCTAGATTTTTTGATTATCTGTCTTATATTCAGCAGGTGTTCTCGAGTGCGTCTTTTTTTTTTAACCTATTCTCTATCCTTCCATTGTTGGATATAGGTCTCCCCCAGTTCTCTCCATCTTTCCCTAATTTGAGTTGTTCTCTGCCATGTGGGACCTCCTTGTTTCCTGATGTCATCTTTCCACGTCATTTGTGGTCTGCCTCTTGATCTCTTTGCATTGTATGGACGCCACTTTCCGATGGCATTGTTCCATCATCCGTCTTGGAGACGTTCATTGTGTCCAGTGCCTCTACCTCAGTGTCGAGTGCCTCTACCTTTGGTAAACCCAGTTTGCTCTTGTGGAATTTCTCTTTGGAGGAATGTTTTCAGTCTCTCATTGATTATATGTAGCATTATCTTGCTGGCATGGGATATAAGAGAGATAGTTCTATAATTGTCGCATTTATGGAAGCTGCCTTTTTTATGTATGGTCGTTATTGTAGATTTTGTCCAGTCTTCGGGCCATTGTTTGGAATACCATATTTGGTTACAGAGTAGATGAAGTAACTTTACGCCGGTTTCTTCTGTGGCTTTAAGCATTTCTGCCGTTATCATATCTGGACCTGATGCTTTGTCACACTGGTCACACTTACTGTTTAATTCATATATTGAGGCAGTCCTCCAAAATTGGAAAAACCACTGCTAGAGAATGGGAATCTCAACAGGAAATGACGTAGTGTTCTCCCTGAACTTCCCAGATGACCAAGTCGTCCTAGCTTAAGATTCTTATGATCTAGAATTTATGATAAAGCGTCTATACAGAGAATATGTAAAATGGGGTTTTTAAGTCAGCATGACGAAAACAGAATATTTAGTTATCAATTCAGATGTAAGGTTTAAAGTGTGATAGACGAAGACGTGTAAATCAAACAAGTGGAAAAATTTAAATATTTTGGTGCACTCATTGATAACAACGGCTTAGGTGAAACCGAAATTAAACACCGAATTAATCAGGAACGTAAAATTGTAAGTTGTCTGAACTCCTTATGGTGGGATCGCAACATTTCCAAAAGGAACAAAAAAAGAATAGGGCAAACCATGGTTGAATCAGTTCTTTGTTATGGCTCAGAAGTATGGCCAATTAATACAGACCTGAAGAGAAGATTGTTGGCAGTTGAAATGGATTATTTAAGAAGAAGTGCCAGAACCTCAAGGCAGGAAAGGAAAACCAACTAATCTATAAGAAATAATATGAATGCTACAGAAACAGTCATTGACAGAATAGAAAGAAGAGGTTCAAAATAGTTTGGATGAAATCGAGAGGTTTGAAGGAGGAGCATGCCTTGGATCGGGGGGATTGGCTGAAGAGAACGGAAATACGGTGAGCGCCGTCTCCAAAATATATTGTATTTAGAAGTTGGATTAATATCAAACGTAAATAAACTTATTTTAACCTTCAATTGTGGCTTATTCTAATTAAAATAGTAATTACTTTGAAATGCCACAAGAAAATAGCTTCAGAGGGACAATAGATCTAGATAAGAGAAGGGAGTGTTCCAAAAATGTCGTCAGCCTTACAGCTGCCACCCCACTTTTGGAGTACTGTTCGTGCGACAGTCAACTGCGCACAAGTAAGAGAGGGTGGTTTTAGTTGGTAGGCAGGATAATAGATACCTGATACCTTGGCACTGCTATCTACTTTAAATTATACTAAAACCCAAATTTTAGGGACCCAAAATGGAGGTAGCATAAAAAAATTTCAAAACCCCCTCTCAGGCAAATTCTGGGTGCGCCACTGCTGTATACCAATATGTAATTTGAATATTATGCAGTTCCATAATTATTTCTTGTTCCCTGTTTCTCCATTATTTGATATTCCAGCATGCTATCCAGCAACATATCCTTATAATACGTATTACACTACACAAAAGTGATTCTCGACTTCACCCTGACCGCTGTGCATTAGCCAAACATGTCCATTCCACTGGTCATTACATGGACTATACGAACACTACAATTCTCTCACAATGTGAGAACAATAAATCTAAAAGAGAGTTCATTGAAATGTCTTATATTTTCCTTAACGATTTTTCCATCAATGTTAAGAGTGACATTAAGAATCTAAGCGATATATACCACTTCTTACTTAAATCAGATACCAAGAACAATACAACATCACAGATAACTAACTTGACCGATATATCTATTAACAACTAACCTACTTTAATAATAATTTTCATTAACTAAAAAAGATAACATTCCCTTGCTTTTCTTAGATACATCTCAATAAGATATTATTATAATAATACATGAACAATATACTAATTAAAAAAGAATTTCAATTAAGAAAATTCTAAACTAATATCTCCCCAGACTGGGATCTAACTTCATCGGTTTTACCAATGAACCTTAACGACATAAATATTCAAAAAAACTACTTGTAATTGTCAGCGCTTGCTTTCTATGAAAACAGAACCTCACATTCAAACTTTATAACAATCAAAAATTTAGTTATTGCCGACAATTCAAAGAATTACTTCCTTTAAATGTAGTTACATTGGGTTTTTCGATTAACCTAGGGTAAACCTTTGCGTTTTAAGTTCAAAGCTACCATACATTTCCAACGTTAACAAAAATAACTTTTTCGCACATAGTAACAAAAAAACACCACTATGTTGTTACTAGCTAAAGTTTTTTAACATCATAACTCGACATTTTTAAAATTTACGGTAAGGTAAATGTTTTTCATTAGATAATATATGGTAGCTAATTATAATTTATTCTCTTTCAGCCCTGAAGAAGCCAAATTAATTCTCTTTGGCGAAAACGTTAGGCGAAACAATTGATACACATTAGAGTTTTTCTTGCAGATTTCCCCAATATTTAAGAGTTTACTATATATATATATATATATATATATATATATATATATATATATATATATATATATATATATATATCTCAGGCACTGGAAAAAGAAGTGTAAAGGGATGGCGCTGTCTATTGGGGATAACATATTATACACGTTGCACTATGCAGATAACCAGGTAGTTATTTCCTAAGACAAGGAAGACCTGGAGTATATGGCTAGAAAACAAATGGAAGAGTACAAAAAATGGGACCTCGAAGTAAATTTACAAAAAACGCAATATCTTTGCATAGGAGGAGATAATACTGCAGATGACCTCGACTTAGAAGACGGGAAAATTAAGAAATGCGATCAATGTATAAATTTAGGGGTAAAACTAACAAAGACAGGAAGAACGGATTAAGCCATAAAATGCAGAATAACCAAAGGGAAACGAGTTATAGGTGCATTGAATTCAGTACTATGGCAGAAAAATATAAGACCGGAAACGAAAAAAAGAATATATAACATCATATTGAAACCAGTAATCGTCTATGCCTCAGAAGTATGGCAGTTATCACAAAAACTTAAAGGTAACCTATTGGCAGTAGAAATGGATTTTTGGAGGAGAGCAGCGGAAAAGTCTCGATTAGAACATGTGAGAAATGAGGACATAAGGAATCAAATAAATGTACAAAGCTCAATTATAGAAGACATCGAAAAATAAAAACTGACATGGTACGGACATTTTAGACGTATGGAGGAAGAAAGACTTCACAAAGAAAATATTAGAATAAGTACCACCAGAGAAAAGAAAACGAGGACGACCACCAACAACATGGATGCAAGGAATTTCAAAAGCAATGTCAGCAAGAAATCTATAGTGTATATATATATATATATATATATATATATATATATATATATATATATATATATATATATACATAATCTAAGAAATTGGGCGCTATTAAACTATTTTTTAGTTCTTATAGAAGTTTCTGTAAACTTACATTTTCACTATTATCTTGATTTAAAACTTTTCCAAAAAGATATAATGAAAGTACACAAAAAAAGTTCACTTTTAACTTCATTTTGAAACAAATAGCGTAATCAGTCTCGTAGTAATTCCTATATATTTACTTGAGGGTATGTAAAATATTTCTCAACAGAATATTTTTATTATACAGAGTGTCTCAAAATAAAAATAAAACGTGTTTGAAGCCGGCATACAACATACATAAAAATATACTTTTCTATAATATAGAAATATCTTTAGAATATTGCCAAAACTAATTTAAAATTATGTGGTTCGTTAACAGAATGTTTATAACAATAAATATGTGTAAATGGCAATAAAAAAATATAAAACACTATAAATTTCTCAATAGTTAACTTACTAATTAAGAAATTGTGTAAGCGAATAAAAACAGTTTTCCACCAGCAACGTTTGTTAAAATTTTATCCAATTTTTTGTAAAGCATTAAGTGTAGTTTTTAATTTTAGTTATACGTAATATTATCCTTAACGGTATAATTACATTGTGTATCTTGTCTCACTTTCTTCTTTGGGTGCCATGTACTAAGCTAGGCGTCTTTAATCAAACATACAACTCTTAGCCAAGAATGTTGTTTTCTACCAGGTCCTTATTTCTCCTTAATTTTCCTTATACTATTACTTTTGTATGAACAACTATTCAACAGGGATCTATTTAGCGAGGAAACAATATTTTTTATGAAAAGACCCTTATGACATCATTAAGCGAAGCTCGACAGAAGAAATGGATAGAAAGCCTAGAGCATATGGATATGTTTCACAGCAGTAAAATTGCTTGCAACCTAATAGGAAAACTATAGTGAGCAAAAAACGCCTTCGAACGTTACTCCCAACCCACCAACCCATTAACTACTCCTTAACGACAAACATAACACCTTCTTCTTCAAGTGCCCTGTCCGTTGCGAATGTTGGCTATTAACATGGCAATTTTGATCTTGTTTGCGGCGCTTCTGAATAGTTCGACCGATGTGAGCCCGAACCACTTCCGCAGATTTTGGAGCCACGAGTGTCTTCTCCTGCCTGGCCCGCGTTTACTGTCTATTTGTTCCTGGACAATCAATTGTAGCAGACGGTACTTATCGTGTCTCAATATGTGGCCTAGATATTCAAGCTTTCTTTGTTTAATTGTATTCACGATTTCTTTCTCCTTTCCGATTCTTTGGAGTACCTCTATGTTGGTGACATGTTCGGTCTAGGATATACGAATGCGTCCAAGAATGCGTCGGTACACCCACATTTCGAATGCTTCTAGTTTTCATGTTAGCGTCTCCGTCAGCGTCCAGGCCTCCAAGCCATACAGCAAGATCGGAAAAATGTAGCATTTAACTATACGTAGTTTTAGGGGAAGAGACAAATCCTTGCTTATGAGGAGCTTTTTCATATTGCTAAATGCTGCTCTAGCTCGTTCTATTCTCGCCTTAATTTCTATGGTCTGTTCCCATTTTGCATTTACGTTGGTGCCAAGGTACACATAAGATTCTACATGGTCAATTAATATGTTACTTATCCGTAATTGTCGAGCAGGTTGTTGCTTTTTGCTTATCAGCATCCACTTTGTCTTCTTGAAGTTGAGGCTCAGGCCGTATTCCTTACTAACTGAATAAAGTCTTTCCATTACTTGTTGTAATTCGTATATGGTACTGGCAAGGATCACCGTGTCGTCGGCGTATCTTATATTGTTCGTTAACTCGCCGTTTATTTTAATGCCCTCATTTGCATTTTCCATACACTTGTTAAATATTTCCTCGGAATACATATTGAATAGGAGTGGGGATAATATACACCCCTGACGGACACCTCTTTTGATCTGCACGCTTTCAGTGAGTTCGTTGCCAATTTTTGCTCTTGCTGTTTGACCCCAGTATAGGTGTCCTTGTCCTTGTCGTCAATACCTGTCTTTCGCAGAATACCTATCAATTGTTCATGATTATACACACAAACATAACACCACACACAAAAAACAGGGATTAACTGCTTGCCAACAACCGAAAAAGGTACTGTGACATACCTTTCACCATAAAGGAACTACATCTGCTTCTTTTCCTTTTTCTTCTTTTTATACAGACATGACTCTGTCTGTTTTTCAATATGTCTCCAGTAAGTTGTCATTCCATCGTCTTCCTACTGATCGTCTTCCTATTGGGGAACCGTCTCTTGCTGTCTTTACTACTCTATTTGTTGTCATTCAGCTTATATGATCGTTCCATTCTACTCTTCTATTTCTTATCCAGTTCTTGATGTTCTCCACTTTGCATCCATGTCGTATATCTGTACTTCTAACTCTGTCCCATAGTGTCTTACCATCAATTTTTCTAAATGTTTTCATCTTTGATGTTTCTAATATCCTTTTTGTCCTCTCTGTGTCTGATGACTGTTTTGTAAATTCTGCCTTACACTTCTTTCCCGATATTTATTTCTTCATATTGTTTCATTTAGGCAGCCTGTGGCTCTGTTTTCTCTATTCACTTGATCTTCCACTTTGGTTTCGAGCTTTCCGTAGCTAGTTAATGTGATGCCTAGATATTTAAACTCCATCACTTGTTCTATTATCTGACCTTCCAGCTCCAACTTACATCTTAGTAAATTTTCTGTTGTAACCAGGCATTTTGACTTTGTTGGGGAAATTATCATGTTAAATTTTCTGGCGGTTATATAAAATTGGTGCAGCATACGTTATAAATCATCTTCATTTGAGAGATTAGTATTGCGTCGTCTGCATAGCAGATTAATTTAAGTTGTTTTTCTCCCATTTGGTATCCTTTTTTTTCTTACTTTTTTTATTATTTCATCAATAATCAGGTTAAACAAACTAGGGCTAACTAAATCTCCCTGTTTTATCCCATTGCCAGCTTTAATAGGGTCGGTTAGTTCTTCTTCTACTTTTACTTTTATTGTATTGTTTTGGTAGATATTTTCGATCGTTTTGATTATTCCTAGAGGTATCTCTCTTGCATACAGTAAGTGGATCATCATCGTCATTGGCTCCACAATCCATGGTAGGTCTTGGCCTGCTCAAGGATAAGTCTCCATTATCTCTTCGCCTTGACTTTTCAGTTTCGTACTTCCACCATTCTCAAGTCTTCCTCCACCTGATCCTTAAATCGTGCTCTGGGTCTGCCTCTTCTTCTCGCTTCAGCCGGTTGATTTTGATGAACCTAATAATATCAGGTTTGCCATACAGGTGGTAAAATTTGAAATTATAGCGTCTGCGCCATAATCCGCCCTCATGTGCTCCTCCATAGATATGCCGGAGGATTTATGCTCAAAGCATCTTAAACGTTCTTCATCGCTCTTGTCATAGTCCATGTTTCCGTATATTTTTCTCTATATCACTAGTTTCGTTCTTTTTGTAACTAGGCTTGTTGTTAAAATTTTTTTATTCCATAATAGGCTCTATTTGCCAGACATGCCCGTCTGTTAATTTCTGCACTTACTGCATTATTCTGATTAATTTGTGAGCCTACGTATATAAACTCTCTTACTCCTTCGAAAGTATATGTTCCGATTGTTAGATCTTCAAGTTGTGCTACTTGTATATAATTTGATACTTTCATATACTTCGTCTTACTAGTGTTAACTTCTAGTCCTATTCTTTTTGTTGCTGATTCAAGCGCATTGAATGATTCGACCACGTCCGCCTTTCTTCTTGCAATAATGTCGATGTCATCGGCGTACCCTAGTAATTGTACGCTGCGATTAATAATAGTTCGTCACTAATATCACTTTCCCTAGTGCAATATTAAATAGAAGACATGATAGCTGTCTAAGTCCTATCTGAGACTGAAACTTTCTGGAAACTCCTTTCTGCACTCCAACTTTACACTCGACTCTTGAGAGGGTCGCTTTCACCAATTTTACTAAGTGTACTGGTATGCTGAATTCTATCATGGCCTTTTACAATGCGTTTCTTTCAACACTATCATGGGCACATCTAAAATCAACAAACAGGTGATGAGTATTAATGGCATACTCATATGTTTTTTCCAGAGCTTACTTCTGAAGGAATATTAAATCGATCGTTGATCTTTCTTTACGAAACCCACACTGACATTTACCTATTATGTCTTCACAATTTCCCAATAGTGGTTGGTAAAGAATATATGCCAATATTTTGTGTGGTACGTTTAAGAGGGTTATTCCTCTGTAGTTGTTACATATTGTTTGATCTCCTTTCTTGTGGATAGGTACAATTATACCTACATTCCAGTCTTCTGGCAACTTTATTTGCTTCCAGATCAATTCTTCCAGTCTACGTATAGAGTATGTCAGGTCTTTTCCATACTTTAAAAGTTCTGAAGGAATGCTATCTGCCCAGGAGCTTTGTTTTCTTTCAATTTTTGTATAGCTTATTTGACTTCTATCTCTGTTGGGATGTTATTTTTCTCTCTTTCATCGTCAATGTCCTTGAGTTGGATTTCTGATTCGTGGAGCCCTGTGTCACCTCTTATGTTTAACCTTTCCTCGAAGTTTTCTGCCCATCTTTCTAGTATCTGGTCCTGATCACCAATTATCTCCCTGTTCTATTTTTAACGATTGATAATCTTGGTTTGAATTCTTTTCTGTTCTGGTTAATCCTCTTGTAAAGATTTCGGGTTTCTGCTTGTGCCTTATAGCTCTGTAGTTCTTTTAGTTGGCTCTCTATATGCTCTTTCTTCTTTTTTTAAGTATTTGTTTTTCTTCTCTTCTCAGCTGCCTATACTCTTCCTCTGTTTATCTCGTTCTTCACCCATAGAGTCTTCTATATGCCTGATTTTTTCTTTGCGTTGCTTGTGTGCATTCCTCATCGTACCAATCTGACCTTAATTTTTTACATTTTTGCTTTCCGATAAATTCAGTTCTTCTTCCAATATGGCCATATACTGCATCCAATGGTTGTTAATATATTTAACTATGTTATTCGTGCAGCCTTCCAGTTTGCTTTCGAGACTTTTCTTGAATCTCTTAGCTATCTCAGGGTTCTTCAACGCTTCTACTTTAAACCTTTCCTCTTTAACTCCATTTTCTTTCTTTGCATTGGAGAGTATAGCTCTTAGTTTAGCTTG